GATCCCCTGGGACTGGAGTTATGGACAGTTGTTAGCTGCCATGTGGGTGCTGGGATTTGAACCCGGGTCTTCTGCAAGAACAACCAGTGTTCTTAACCGCTGAGCCATCTCTTCAGCCCAGATAAAATGTTTTAAATTAAAAAATAATAAAAGAAAGAAAGTACTGTTTAGACCTGGAATCTAACAAAGTAAGCATGCTTACTTCTCAGAGGAAAATGGGGTTCTATGAGCACTACTCAAATGTGAAGAAAATGAACAAATCTTCTACTCATCTATCATTTTCAAGAATAGCCTCTAGCCATGACATTCTATTGGGGAAACTCCTTACTTCAGGGAACTAGATCTGACCAGGCTTATTCCAAGTCACATAATGAACAATGTAACTGACTACCTTAAAGGTGTGATTACACATAGTATATTTAATACTCAATCTTAAGTCTTCTTGAATCATACTTCTGTGCCTATCTATTTGATAAATATATCAAAATAAAAACCACAATTCAATTTTATTTCTATACTGATTGAAATACCTACATCAAACTAAAGACCAGATTCCATGAGGTACCCAAATTTACATTTTTGACGTAGTATATCCTATGAGACAGAACTTGCTTATGCATCAAGGAAAAGGAGGGCTGAACGCCAGCTCTGTCACTTTCTAGTAATTCTCTATAACCTCAGACAAACTGCTTCACATTTCATGGAAAATAATACAATAATGTCTACCTTAAGGCCTTGTAAAAATTAAATGAAAAGTATCTCAAATAAGAAAAGAGAGGTGAGGTTTACTCAGTAACTATTTTAAAAAATGAGAGTAGATTAAAACTCATCCGGAACCAGGTCTTGGTTCTTATTCTTTTCTTTCCTTGGGGTGTGACTTCTGATGAGTTCTTAGCTTCTCTGTTTTTTGTTTCATGGCAAAAGTGGAGGAAATAATGTGCTCTCTACCTAAGGTTTCTTAAATGAGCGAATGAATTAACACATGCAAGTACTGCACAACAAATAAATCACAATCACAGGAAAAAAAAATTCTGGGTGGGGGGGTTTGCTGCTGTTTTGGAGGGGTGTGAGGGGGGCAGGGAGACAGAGAACTAGAATCTCATGCTGTGCAGGGCTGGTCATAAACTTGCAATTCTCTTCTATCAGCCTCCTAAGTGCTGGGTTTCAAGGCCTGTACTCCAGGGTGGGAGGGGCTGATAGAAAAGTCAAGTGGCCAAAAAAAAAAGAGAAACTGTGATTTCTCCCTTCCTGGCATAGGAAATTTTATCTCTGTGTGACATACTTCCAATACTGATCACACCTCATATTAATGACTGTGAGACTATCTCCTCCACTAAATATACCTCCTTAAGGACAGGAATCACACTTCTGCTTCCTCAATGGCTGTGATTACACATGAAATGTCTGCTATAGGCGCATGTGATTCAATGTGATTCAACACTTGGGCCCCTGCTGGTGGTGCTGCTTGGGAAGGTTACAGAAAAGTTAACTAATAAAATGACTAACACATCATCATGATCAGGCATAAATAGTGCTTAATGAGAACTTGAGTTATAGTATGCTCTTTTAGCCTTCCTGTGGCAAAAACAGTAATACATGGGGAGATAGAAGAATTACCATTTTCTTTTCGTAATCTAGTGATGAATTTCTTGGGTGGTATCACTCCAACCTTCTTCTTCTGAGTGGCTATGCTGTGGAAGAGGTCTGCTAAGCATGTAAGAAGGTTCTCCTTTTTTCTAGGCTGACTCTTGTATGCTAGAACTTTTTCTCGAAATGGACGACAAAAATAAAGTGCTTGAAGAACTGAATTGCAATAGCAGGTATTCCCAAACTAGAATAGAAAAAGAAAAAAAGTTTGGTTAAATGTAAAGAACTCCAACATTAAGAAGAAAGAGCTTATTTAAGCCATAGGATTGTGTAACTTGGGGGAAGGGGTGGTCCATTTGAGATAGGATCTCCCTGTAGCCCCAGCAGGCCTGGAACTTGCTATGTAGACCAGGCTGGACTTGATCTCATAGAGATCCAGCTGCCTCTGCCTCCTAAGTGTGAGTGCTGGCATTAAAGGCATATGCCACCACAACTAGCTAACATTTTTGTTTTTAAATTCCATTACTGGGCTGGGAGTGGTGGCTCATACCCTTAAAGCCAGCACTACAGAGGCAGAGGCAAGTAGATCTCTGTGAAGTCAAAGCTAGCCTGGTCTACATAGTGAGTTCCTGGCCAGCCACTGATACACAGTGAGACACTGTCTCAGAAGCAACATCAAAACTTTATCATTATTACTGTAATATTAGTTGTATACTAAGAATTTTATAAACACACACACGTTATCACAAAAATTCTTTTGAGAATTATGTGCTGGCTAGTTTCAGTTGTCAACTTGATACCACCTGGAAAAAGGGAGTATCAATTGGGAAATTTCCCCTATCAAATTTTCCTATGGCAGTGTCTGTGAGGCATTTTCTTAATTGCTACTTGATATAGAAGGGCTCAGCCCACTGTGGGTGATGTCATCCCTGGGCAGGTGGTCCTGGATTGTGTAAGAAAGCAGGCTGAGCACAGGCCAGAGGAGCAAGCCAGTAAACAGTTTCCTCTGTTGTCTGTACTTCAGTTACTGCCTTCAGGTTCCTGCCCTGAGTTCCTGCCTAACTTCCCTCAAAGATGGACTGTCACTTGGAAGTGTAATATGCAATGGAGATGTAAACTAGAACAAAATACCAAAGTAAGATTTTTCCATCCAAGTTCTCAGGTACCTGCAAACCAAACAAACATGCCCAAACAAAAACTGCAAAACAAGCTCCCTTGAAATGCTAAAGTCCTCAACAGGTTGATCTAACAACCACTGAAAGGCAGAGAGTGTCAACCAGTATGGTTCCTGATTAGAACAAGTGTGAGAATCAGATCCTAAGTAAGGAGTGTCTCTTAATAGTCATGGGAGTGTGCTACTACATTTTATTCCACTTCAAATTCTTCCTCTTAAAATCCACAGGGGAAGGGGTCCAACCTGACAGGGTAAACACCACATGGTTTGATAATTAATTACTGCTTCCTTTCCCTTCCAGCAATAGGTGCTGGCTCCAAAAGTCAACTGACAACACAACCAAGTCAATGAGGATAAGGAAATGCTATGAAACCAGGGGGTGGGGGTGAAAGAGCAAGAAACAAGTCTCATACTCATTTTATGGGTTGAGATCATATATACCTTAAATTAAAAAGACTAGGTAATGGCCTGGGAATACAGATCAATAGGCAAGTGTTTGCCAACCCTGTTCAAGGCCCAGGATTCCATATTTAGTACTGGGGAGACAAAATAGAGCTAAGTACAAAAAAGTACTTAAGTATGCATGACATTAAATATATTAACCACAAACCATTTCCTTGTATTTTCAAAAGACTAGGAAGGATAAATGAAAGGGAAATGAAATGGTTATTTATAAGAAAAGAATAGTGAGGGATGAAGATGAGACTTCCTGTAGATGTATAAAGTCATAAAGCTTATTCTGTATCCCTGTTTCAAGATTTAATTTAATTGTGTGTGTACAAGTGCATATGTGTGTATAGGTGTCCACAGAGGCCAGAGGAGTTTGATCGCCCTGGAGCTGGAGTTAAATACAGTTATGAGCCACCTGACGAGGGTGACAGGAATGGAACTAGGGTCCTCTAGAAGTATGGGCTCTTAACCACTGAGCCATCTTTCCAGCTCTATTATCCTTAGGTTTTAAAAAAGAAAAAAATTCAGCCAGGCATGGTAGCACACGCCTTTAATCCCAGCACCTGGGAGGGAGGCAGAGGCAGGTGGATCTCTGTGGGTTTAAGGACAGCTTAGTCTACATAGTGAGTTTGAGGCCAGCTGAGCCTACAGGGAGACCCTGTCTCAAAAAGAACCCCTCCTCCCAAAAAAGAAATATTAAATTTAAAAAAAAAAAGAAAAAAAATCGTAAAATTGAGAAACAAAAAACCCAAGACAAATAAATGAGACCAATATGTTTATCTAGTTGGTAACAGGATTATATAGAGAAAAGAATTCGAACTCTGGGTGATTTTTTTTTTTCTTTTTAAATTTGCACTTCTAAAAATAAATCTAAAAAATAAAAGAATCACAAAGAAGCCTATTGGTATTGCCCTCTTTAAACTATTAAAGATACATTAAACAATACATCAACTAAGGAGTCATGTTAATGCCCTTAGGAGTTTTTTTAAAAAATATTTTATTATTTTTATTTTAGGTGTATGAGTGTATCACCTACATGTGTTTAAGTGTACCCATCCGTGCTGTGCAATGCCCACAGAGGTCAGAAGGTGTTGGATTCCCCCAGAACTGGAGTTACTGATGGCTCTTAGCAGCCATGTGAGTGCTAATCAAACCCAGGTCCTCTGCAAAAGCAGTCAGTGCTCTTAACTGCTGAGTCATCTCTCCAACCGCAAGAGCTCACTATTTTTAGTGGTGAAATTCATTTTATTAGTAAGTTTTGTTCTTTGACAATTTCATATATATCTTAAATGCACTGTTTACTCTCCTCTACCCACATCTCCCTCTTATTCCTGTCAGTTTTCTTTCTTCTCTAAAATTTGTTTCCCATATTCATGACTTTTATTTATTTTAATTTATTTTTATTTTATGTGTATGCATGTTATGCCTGCATGTCTGTAAGAGCACCTGTGCTGTACGATGCTGATGGAAGTCAGAAGAGGGTGTTGGATCCCCTGGAACTGGAGTTAAGGATGGTTGTTAGCCACCATGTGAGTGGTGGGATTCAATCCCCGGCCTTCTGCAACAACCAGTGCTCTTAACCTCTGAGCCATCTCTCCAGCCCCAACTTTTATACTTGTAGGGCAGGGTCTCACTATGTATCCCTGGCTGGCTACACTCACAAAGATCCACCTGCCTCTGCCTCCCAAGTGTTGGGATTAAAGATGGGCACCTCCACGCCCAGCTCATAGTAATGATGTTTTGTTTTATATCCCATAAAGTTTAACTAGGGCCCTCTGTGTGACCATGGGTTTGGAACTATCCTTTAGAAACCAGTGGGCTCACCAGTAGGTACACAACTGGATACTATGTCTCCCCATTTCCCAGAATCTGCTAGTTGTCAATAGTTCAGCAGTGTTAGGGTCCCATGAGCCCCTTTCCCATCCATAGCTGACACAACTTGTGAGGACCCAGAGCCAGTACACACAGCTTCTGTTAAGTTATTGTTGCCAGAGCCAGTTTGTGCTTAGAAGATATTTCACTACACTTCTCCCTGTCTTCTGGCTCTTTATCCCTTCCACCCCCTCTTCTGCAGTATTCGCTGACCCTGAAGGAGATGGCATAAATGTCTTGTTTAGGGCTGAGCCCTCAACCATCCTTTATTCTCAATATCATATGCAGACGTGGCTCTCTGCATTCACCTCCATTCCCTCAAAGAAAGATTCCCCTGACAGAGGCTGAAAATAGCCTTGTGGGTATAACATAGATATAAGGCACTTTGATACTATGTCAATTTAGGCTAAGCAGCAGTAGATTCCCAACCTAGGACCTAAGACCTCCTCAACCATGTGGAACCCATGTGGGAGTAGATTAAAATTGGAAAAGTACAAGACCCTGTAAATTTAAATTGAGACTAGCAGTATAAGCTCATGCATTTTCATAATTCTTTTAAAAATACTTTATTATTTTATGTGTATGAGTGTTCTGCCTACATGTATTAAGTGCACTCATGTCCTCTAATGCCCACGGAAGCTAGAAGAGGGCATCAGATCCCCTGGACTGGAATTATGGATGATTGTTAGCTGTCATGTAGGTGCTCTTAACTGCTGAGCCATCTCTCCATCCCCAATCCAGTGATTTAAAATGACATTTAAAAGAAAATAAAGGGAGCTGGGGATATAGATCTAGCTCAGTGGTAGAGTATTTGCTTAGCATGGGTCAGGTTCTGAGTTCATTCCCCTATATCATACACACACACAAAAAGAGAAACTTTCATTTTCTATTAGAAGTTGCAAATTAACATATAAAAGGAAAACATTCCTGTTTATAGGACAGTTCTAGGAAATAAAATCTGAGAAATTATTGTAAATAATGGAGAATAATTGTCAAAGTATGCTGAGAGCATGAGGTGAAGGTTGGTGGGGAATTCTGATGGACCAGGCTCCAGGCTCTGACCCAAATGCATTTCAGCATCACTGAAGGTGAATAAGCAAGCAGGTGGTAATATGAATCTTACTTCCTTAGAAATGTTCTTGACATTAAAACAAAACCACTTAAGTTTAATGGTTTCTAAATGTAAGTGTTAATTTCTAAGATATGCAGATGACAGAGGAACAAAATATTATCAAAAAGAGGCATTAAGCCAAATGTGAAATAAGGGAGGGTTTCTAGGACAAATGACTGGTCTCTGGATAAATCAAATTAAAAAAAAAAAAAAAGAAGCCAGGCTGTGAAGAACTCAAGATGTCACAGAACTCATGATGTAACACAATGAAATCACAACTCTGACACACAATTTACTAATAACTTGAGTTAAACAACCCAACTTCTCAAAGTCTCTTGGAGGTCAGAGAGACGGCTCAGGAGTTAAGAGCATTGGCTACTCTGGAAGATGACCTGAGTTCAGTTCCCGGCACCCATATGGCAGCTAACAACTGTCTGTAACTCCAGTTCCAGGGGATTTGATGCCCTATTCTGGCCTCTGTATGCACTGCATGCACACGGTGCACTTAAATACATGCAGGCAATACATTCACACACATAAAAATATGCAAAATGTAATTTAAAAAGTCATTGGAGAACAGAGATGTTTGAATATAGACTGATGTTGAGTGGCATTAAGAAGCTATTTGTTTTGTTAG